CTCGTTATGTGGTTCAATGCACCTTGTACCAGGGCCAAGATGTGGTGCCAGTCGGTCGCGCGCAGCTTCAAATCGCTGCTAAGCGTCCTCACGGCGCGGAGGATCAGTCGGTTGACTACTTCAACGGTTCGTTCGCCCAAGGACAGTAGGCGGTGGTGAAGTGGTCGTGGGCGCCGGCGGCCTTGCGGATCTTGTCGATGGCTTCGTTCTTGAAATGGGACCCGCTGTCGGAGACCCAGGTATGGACATACCCAAATGTCGTAAACCAGTCGAGAACGCCGTTTGCGGTCGCCGCGGCGTCGCTTGTCTCGCTGGGCCAAAGTCGTACGAACCCGCTCATGTCGTCCTTGATGACGAGGATCATCTGTTCGTTGACGTGGGCATGGATAGCCAGTAGAAGTGGATCAGCTCTTGGGGCTTCTCGGCATGGAGCGCCGATTCAAGCGGGCGCGAGACCACTGAGCCGTCGACGCTGAGGCAGTGGATGCAGGCTTGGACAAAAGTCTTGACATCGTCTTCGAGGGTGCTCCAGGCGAAGACATCGCGGACGGCCTTAGTTGTGGCTTCGATCCGTCGATGGCCCGCGGCGCCTTGGTGCGCTATGATGCAGACCCACTGCCGGAGGTCCGTGGCACTTGGTGGGATCCAGATTCGGTCTTCCTTGTCGAGGAACAGGTTCTTGTCTTCATTCCACGCTACGCCGGTTGGCGAGGTCTCTCCCCTCTTCACGGCCACTTCTTGGGTCTTGACGATACCGGCAGGGCTGGGCCAGTCGAAGTCGGGCTGCTGCAGGGGTGACACCATGGCCAGGAGGCGCCGGACGGACTTCGTTGGCACTTGGGCTTGGGCGGCGCCCCAGCGGCTGAGCAGGTCGCCCCACACATTGTCTTCACTGGGCAGGCACTCGATGGTGTAGGGGAACGAGGAAAGCACCAGGGCCCAGCGCTCTAACTTGTGCGCTTGGTACCTCGCCATGCTTGGGGACTGGCCGGCAGGATTGAAAATGTACTGCAGGTTCTTGTGGTCGGTGAAAAGGCGGAAGCCAGCTGGGCGGATAAGAAGATAAGAAGGTAGTCCAGCCGCTTGCAGCTTTCCACCACGGCAAACGCTTCCTTCTCCACGATTGGCCAACGCTCGCTTACGCCAGTCACCGCTGAGAAAGGCCAACGGCTGGTGGCGTTGCTCTTCCAACGGCAGGGCCAGGTCTTCAAATGGTACTTGAGTGGCGATCGCGCCCCAAAAGCCTTCACTTGCGTCGGTCTAAAGGCAGACCATCATCTCTGCCCGTGGGTGCGCCATGGGAACCATCGCCAAGATAGCTTCCTTGATCTTGTCGAAGCAGGCCAGATGGCCAACGTCCCAGCCAACGGCAGTGAGTTGGACCCGAGTGAGCTTCATCTTCTTCGCACTTCCAATTTGCTTGGTCGCTGTGTCGAGAAGTTGGCGGAGCGGCGCCACAAGCTCGTTGTAGCAGGGGATGCTGGCCCGCATCCAGTTGGTTGCGCACACGAACTGTTGGAGGTCGGCGGCCGTGGCGGGCGGCGCGAGCGCACACAGTCCTTGGATTCTTGTGGGGGAGTGTTGGACGCCCTCAGTTGAAACAACTTTGCCGCACCAGACGGCCTTGGTCAGGAAGAAGTCGCATTTCTTCGGGTTGAGCTTCAGGCCGAAGGAGGAGCAGATCGTGAGGACTTGGTCGAGGAGGTCGAGGAGGTCTTCAGGGGTCTCGGCGTAGCCAAGCATGTCATCGAGCCAGGCGAGGAGTCCCTTGAACAGTAGGTTGACAAACATGAAGTCCACCGCCGACTGGCAGAACGCCACCGCGTCGGTCTGGCCCATAAGCACTCTTGTGGGCGTGTACACTCCAAAGGGGGTCATGAAGGAGCAGTACATTTGGGAGTCTTCATGGAGCGCCAGCTGCCAGTAGCCTTGAACCAGTCGAGCGTGAAAAACGCCCGCGCGCCCACCAAGACAGTCTGGGCGGCGTCGAGGTTCGGCATAGGCCATGGCATAGGCTCCGTGCACGCATTGATGGGCCGGCTGTCAATGGCCATGCGCAAGTCGCCAGGGTCTTTCTTGGGGACGATGCGCGGCCCCGAGGCCCAAGTTGCGCGGTTGTTGCGGTACACCAGACCTGCTACTTCGAGCTCGCGCACATGTGTCTTCAGGAACTCCATATGGGCTGGGGGTATCGTCGCAGGCCACGCTTGACAGGGACGGCGCCAGGTTTGATGCGCACCCGCAGCGGCTCCACCTTGATCGGCTCGTCATGGCCGATCTCCAGGCGGAATACATCACCGTGCTTGGCCAGGAGGAGTCACAGCTTCTCGAGGAGGTCCGCGGTCAAGCCGTCGTCTTCGGCGGCACGGAGCTTGTCTTGAATCACGGCTTCAACCACCGCTCGCCGCCTGTTCCGCTCGCCTTCTGCGTCTTCAGCAGATGGGACTTGGATGTTGGGGGTGGCACAGTGCATGCCGTCATCACCGCACTCGTCGCTTGAGGCGGCCACTTGAGTCAGGCGGCTGACACTTACGATCGCAGATGGCTTGTCCACGTCGCTGACATCCCAGCTTCTTGCTTGGCAAAGGCGTGGCTGAACAACTCGTCTTCAGAGTAGCCCAGCCGTTCCATCACAGCCCGGCTGATCAGGAGCTCTGCCGCGTTGGAGGAAGAGTCCACACAGGACCAAAGGTCCACAGGGGGTGTCCAGGGTGACAACTTGAACTGCACTTGGCGGTCGGCCTTGACGGCAGGTGCTTGGCCATACGGCTGGATCACGGATGTTTCCGGCGAAATCACCTTGACTTCCACGCCGGCCCGCTCCAGGGACTTCATGACACCGGCTGTCACCAAGGTAACGTCGGAGCCGGTGTCGAGGAGGGTCGTCGTGACGGACACGATGCCTTCGATCTTGGCTTCGCGGCCGAGGGACTTGTTCGTGCTGCCTTGAAGCTTGGTCATCTTCTTGTTTCGCGCGCTCTCCCACTTGTCCATTTGCTCCTTGAGCTGGCGCTCGGATTCGCCAGGCGCGCACTTGGGGCAATTTACCACCTTGTGGTTCTCGCTACCACACTTCAGACATGTCGCCTTCTTGCGTTCGTACTTCGCGCTGTCTTGCTCGGGGAATGGGGCACGCCGGGCAGGTCCACTGCTGCTACCAACGCTGCCTTCATATCGTCCAGGCTTGGACGGCCGCGATGGTGCTGCTGCTGCCGTCGCAGGCGTTGCCGAAGTCTTCTCGTCTTCCACCGGTACATACAAGTGGTACCCGGCGGTATGCACGCACAGCCAGTCCACGAAACGGTACACGTTGGAGTTGCGTTGGAGGGCCAGCTGGCGTTGGACTGACTTCTGCAGGCCAAGCGGCTTGATCGCCTTGACCATGATGTCGACAACTGTCTTGCCTTCTTGGTCCAAGACCCACGCTTGGTCGTCGCGCTCCAAGGCTCGCATCAGGTTGTCCAGCATCTTCCAATGCGCGAGTCGGCGTCGAGGATTGTCGTATCGAACCGGATCGCCGTGGTCAAACGCTTCTTGAGTATTTCCAGGTCTTAAGGCACCTCTTTAAAGGCCAAACCATGCGGCCCACTCTGCCTCCGTGACGCCACGGTAGTCGCGGTTGGCCATGTCCCACATCGCCACACGCTTCTTGGTAAAGACATCCATGCACGCGCTGACAGGCATCACAAAGGGTCTTGAGCCATTGAGCTGGAGGGCGTTGACTTGGTCCAGGTACTTGTTGTACTGGCGGATAAAATGTGCGCCGCTCCGATTTGGTCGAGCCGTTGAACGAGGGCGGGCCAGGAAGCGCCGGCACGTTGTACACGAAGCCGCGATCGTCGCCTTGTCCCATGTCGTCGTCATCGGGGACAGGGGGCAGATTGGTGGCTCCAATTGGTGTCGCAGCTGGCGCGGGTGAATCAAATGGGGCGGCCAAGGGGGTCGGTGTGGGCGCCGTAAATGGGGTGTTGGCGTAGCTATCTGTTTGAAACCGCTGTCAACAGCTGGTGGATTACGCCGGCGTGGAGAGGCGAACGGGATAGTGGCTTGACTGTGCACGGGACGGCTGCGTTCGGCTTCTCGGGATCGGGATCGCTCCGTCCCGTTAACCGGGGACAGCGAGCGTTGGTGGTCAGAGTCACTCATTGCTTCGGGCGATGAGGCTAAATAATTCTTTGTTTTCGCCCCCATCGTTATCCGGACGGGAACCTCTTGCGGAGGCCGAATTAAATTGCAAACTGAGTTATCTTACTACGAATTACTTTTTCTAGTCTATTTTAAGTCTAATCATTTCGTCCAATGAAAATGCGCCAACAATGCACATCTTTCAACCGCACGACGAATGGCGGCCTGCTGCACATAATGGAGACTAACGGCCTTACCGTTCATGAGACCATGAGCCGACCTCTAAAAAGGCTCATAGGTCTTTCTGCAGCGCCATGCAGAACATGCCGTCACGAATGACAAGCCTTTGCGTTGGAGCATTGGCAGTTGGCCACTATAAACTGTCTTTCAATGACATGTCTGGCTGGATGCCGACGTGAGGGACATTTTCGTTGATTAAGGCGAACATCAATCGGTCCAAGAGTTCAACATATGCAGACATTCTGTCCCCCCCCGTTCCCATCTTCTACATGTACGACCCAGCGTATCCGTTTGTCGACTGCTTTTGGTATGATGGCGATACCAACACGGTACACGCCTGCCAAATCTCCAAGCCCTTCCCTGGCCACCGCACAGACGTCGACGCATTCAACGCCAAGATGGAAAAGCTTGCTATTCCGGACACCGGCAAGTTGGTCGTGAACATTATCCACCTGCCCTACCAGGCCGATGGATGTGCTCAAGCTAACACCGTTGATATTGCCAAAATCTACCAAAATGGCAATGTCGCCTTCCGTGTCATCAAATTGGCCCTTTGATATTTCATCGCTGCTTGTAGGAATAAATGAACTATAATCTTGATGTTTTCAACCAATTGTTCGTAACGTGAATAATTTGACAAATCTATTGTTCATAACTTGATTTGCAGTAAATCTCAAAAAAGGATATCCATAGAAAGAAATTATATGTCAAATAATATTCTGACAGAGAAATCCGTTTTCAAAATATTTTGATGGAACCCCTGGATGCCATGATGGAATGGGAACTATTGCTGGAATAACATGGCCGATTACAGTACCCCTATGGTCCCTAGGGAGAAATAAGTTATGTGGAAATTGGGAAACTAATCAATTACTAGTATCCGTTATTATCCCAATTATCCGGAAATATCCGTCCGGATATTTCGATTTTCAAAAATCAATCATTAGGGTAAACATAAAAATCCACAGAACTACTACTAAAATCTACTATGGAAGTACTGTAGGTTGAGGTCGAACTGCCTCCGGATATTATATACGGATAAGAGTCATATACAAAAATCAAGATTCATCTCAGATATCAAAGCGCCCATGTAAAATACCGCTAGATTAAATGTCTATTTCTGGACCAATTCATTACCAAATTTGAATCTGAGACGTAGAATTTCTTGACCGCATTGAGATCTGTCGATTCTACGTCTCAATTTGACGAAATTTTGAATAATGAATACGAAATAGAAGTCAGAAAATTTTGTGAAAAGTTGGTAGTTTATAGACGACATACTCCATAGTATACATCAATGGGACTTGTTCCACACCGTACTTCTTGTGATTGAATACCTGTATGGCCGCTATAATCGTGAAGAAGTTGGAGCCAAAAGAACTAGTAAAAAGACGCTTAGCCCCGCCTAGGGGGGGCTAAGCATTATTTGTCACGTAACTTAACCACTACCCCACAGTAGCTGGTTAAGTTACGTGACAAAAAGGTACAGTACGGTAGGGGCCATCGTGCCAAATACCCGCAGTTATTGCTATCGGGATAAGCATATTTCTCTACTGCTGGCCTGTACTGTAGATGGAAAAGTCACAACCCCAACTGAACCCGTGACCATTCGGTTTCACAGGGTATATTGGGTTCAAGTCGAATGTACCCTTTTGTCACGTAACTTAACCACTACCCTAAAGTAGCTGGTTAAGTTACATGGTACATTCGACTTGAACCCAGTACACCCTGAGAAAACCGAATGGTCGCGAGTTCGAGCCCAGTTGGGGTTGTGCTTTTCCACCTATAGTACTGGCCAGTTCAGATGGATGGTGTATGATGCTGTTGGCACCTTTTTCCACCGGCAAAACGCTTGTACGAGCTTAGCGTGGCACCAGTGCAAGACAAAAAGCTTGAGTCGCACTTGTTGCTGGCGCGTACGGGGCACCACGTGGTTGCGCGGAGACGAAATACGACGACGACCGTTGGATTTCCATATGTGAAACAACGTTGTGACGGTCGTCGTCGTCGCAGATGTAGTAGATAGAAGTCGTCTCCATAGCCACTGGATCACCACTCGTCGTAAACTCATGGCGGCCGACAGACAGTACATGCCCCCTTGTGTACACCAGCAGTCGACGTGATACTCTAGTCCGAACGTAGCAACAGGCCACCTCGGGGGGATTAGTTGTTTGTACATCTTCACCGGGATGCCAGATTGATTCAATGCCGGAACCCTCCATGACCATGCCTCTGGTTGATTGTCCACTGGGCACGCAAACCCGCTTTGCAACACATCCTCCTCTTCACCGTCGTCGTCGGTGGTGGTTGATGGACCTGCATCCGGACGACCAGTCATCGACGACAGACAATACTTCGAGACTTCGGGGTGGAATCGTGCCCTGGCGACCACAGGAACGTGATGTTGATCCAACCCACCGACATAGGCGTACTCTAGTGTGGACAATGGTGGCGGAGATAGATGGGAGTCTTGATTCTAGTGTATTTAGTATGTCAATGAAATCCACTATGTTAAATGACACCAGTGGAGTTAGTTGCCTCACCTCGAAATCGGAACGATCATCTTGGAAACGATGGACTTTATTGTCGTCGTTGTGGGATGCTGTGGATCGGGGACTTGATTCGGGGGATATATGACTATAGTAGTACAACTACAGTAGTGTGATGATGTTATGGCTCACAATAATAAGATATCGAGGGTTGTTTCGGAGGCTTGACGTCAATGGGGCAAAGATCACTGACGGAGCACACAAGGGGTGTTCGGGGTGTTCGGCGTGTACAGGCAACTCAGGGAACCCGGGGAAAGCCGGGGTAGCTGGGAAGGTCGGGAACACAGGGGGTTGAGCAGTCGACTCAGGGAACCCGGGGAATGCGGGGTGACCTGGGTAGGCTGGGAGACGTGGGGACCCGGGGTAGCCGGGGGTTGCGGGGAAGTCGGGTCGAGTTCGCCGCGGGTGGAGTCGAGGGTGACTCCGAGGATATGCAAGGAGTATGGAGTGACGCGCCGTGGATAAATCCAGCAGCAAGCCACCACACACACACACACACACGTAGGCAGGGGATGCACACTTAGTACACTTGGTCGAGGTTCAGCAACGGAGGTCGTCTGCGTTGCAACTTCGCACGGATCTGTGGCCCGAGATCTGTACCGAGGACTTGGCTGGTACTGGTTTGGAGGGCGATGCGGGTTTCGTACACTTGGTCGACAAGCGTGTACGGACTTCAACAGCAGACTTCTTGGGGTGGGTCGTTCAGGGACTGTACTGCGCAGGGTCTAAGCCATACACTGCAAAATGTGAACGGTTATTATGTATGTTATGTAAGATGAAAGTATGTAAAGCTATCCTAAAGCCAATTTCCCCTCGTCGATCTGGTCGATGCTTGCCAAAGCTGTCGTCACGCCTCTAGGGCAAGGCATGGTGGTCGTTTGTGGTCCAAAACACGGGTCGCCATTGGTCGAAATCACTGGCATCTGCAGCGGCTACTGAGCAGCTCAGACTTTTGGTGCGGTGTTGACTACGGTGGTGCCCAAACGTATGAACCCGCATATGCAGCGGACATTGCAACATAATCCTGATTTGTAAGAAGTGATCCCAGGGCATGATTGTTGCTGAAAGTGTAGACCCATGACCAGCATCTCGGAACAACCAATGACATCTCCAGCACCAAGTCCCACCCTTAACACGCAATCGGCAACGCTTCCAACATCCGATCCCACTGTTGAAACGCAACCAAGATACCCAGGGAGCCCGGGGTGCCCTGGGTCTCCAGGGAATGTTGGTCTGCTCGGGAATGATGGGCTCATTGAAATGTTGGCCCACAATGTTGGTTTGACAATGGTTTTACCACAGTAGTACGTTGCACACGGTACGTATCGGACACATGTGGGAATGTTGGTCAAATCGATGGCTGCAAACGAACACGCCACGTCACCCACCGACCCTTCAAACGACTTGCACCCTCACGATTTCTTGCTCGGCCGTGTAGGACCACACCCAAATATGCTACAATAATAGATTTACATTAACCAGAAAAAGCAAGGTGAAATAGGCAATTTTTTATGCAGCGCAAGGTGAACCACCTTGCGAATTCCATAGCCTTCTTCACTCACTTGGTATTGCTGGATCAAGCTTTCGCCCATTGTCCAATAGTGAAAATTTATATATAAAAGATGGGGATGGAAATATTCATACAAATACCCCTTGAGTACAAAAAGGTATGGCTTTAAATTTAGAGCCTGATGTAGTAGGTGTTGTTGTTTTTAGTAATGAAAGAGAAATTCAAGAAGGTAATTTTGTAAAAAGAACTGGATCAATTGTTAGTGTTCCTATAGGTGAAGGTTTATTAGGACGTGTTGTTGATGCTTTAGGTCAACCTATTGATGGAAAAGGTAAAATTAAATCAAAAAAATTAAGTAGAGTAGAAATTAAAGCTCCTGGTACGATTCAACTTATTTAAATAATCTACACCACAAATGCAACAACAATAGTAAATAATACTAGTCAAAACAATAGTCAAAATCATGAAATGTTAACTTAAAAAAAATTATATCTTTATTTTTTTCAATAGTTAAACTAACGGCACCTATTAAAGCTATGAAACAAATTAAACCCGCAATTAAAAGAAATAAGACATAATTGCTATTTTAGGTTTCGCTTTAACTGAAGCTATAGCTTTATTTGCTTTAATGATGGTTTTTTTAATTTTATTTGCTTTTTAATTATTTTTTAAGGCCGTTTGTTTCTTGGATTTTAAGTAGATGTATTTTTTAATGAAAATAATAATAAAAAAGCTGAAACTTTTGTACATGGTACTGTTTTAGAAATTGCTTGGACAATTGTCAAGACACAGCTGCATCAAATAAAATTATTTGATTTTCTATATTTAAAAAGTTTATATTCATTTTTAATAATAATTTTTAAGAATTAAAAATAAGACAAAGTTTCAGAAAAATTATTAGTTTTACATTTATATATTAATCAAAATATTGAAGGATAACACCACAAAACCACAAAAAAGTGATTTAAAATTTATAGTAAACCATAATTTTTTTAAATAAAAAAATATTTAATAAAACAAAAATAAATATTAATAAAAACATTAAAAAATTTAATAATGAAATGCTATTTTATTATATTTTTCGTGGTTTTGTAGGTTCATTTAATTGCTATTTTAGGTTTCGCTTTAACTGAAGCTATAGCTTTATTTGCTTTAATGATGGCTTTTTTAATTTTATTTGCTTTTTAATTATTTTTTAAGGCCAAATAGTCTAGTGGTTAAGGCAGTGGTTTGCTAAACCATCAATTATTTAAAATAATTCGTGGGTTCGAATCCCACTTTGGCCTTTTAAATATATTTAATAAAGTAATGATGATGTAGTTCAATTGGTAGAGCGTAGGATTGCCATTCTTTCTGAAATTGTATAGTTTCACGCAGAGGACTCCTTTATCGTCGCTGTACTACACCCTCCTCTGTAGACTCTTTAGTGTATTGCTCCGATGCTGCACTCCACTGTCTGCTGACACTGATTGGCTGCCCATGGCCGCGTCAAGTTCACCTCCCATGTTGTCGTGTCTTGGCAACCAGGGTACCTTTAACCAATCGTATGCATTTATTGAATTATTTTTGACCAATGAACTGTGACCCCTGTAGTATAATTTGGGGAGGTTTTGGTTGCACCTGATGATGCAATTTCTGGTTCATGGGCTTCGACATGATTAAAGATGAACCCCTATCCGATGCGAAATGATCCCGAAATGGTGTTTGCGGAGGTTTTGGTAGTCCTCCACTGGTACTGTTGATAGGTCGTTTACAGCAATTTACTCGTTGATCTTCAAAAGTGACTCCTGGAATTCCTATTCCACGTGGATTACCAGTACAGTAGACCGCGACGAGAACCCTGTTACTCATGTTTACACTGTTAGTTGAAACTATTGCCCTATGCCTAACGTCTGGACAACTGCACATCGCGGGAAAACGATTTGATTTGGTCAAACCTTTGGTGACTATGCCCCGATGAAGACCTTGGGTGTGGCCCCACTCGACCGAAACCACGAAGTAGTAGTGATGCTGCCGGTCCTTCCTAACGAGAAATTCGCATCGACCATTCGTCATTCAATGTCTACTTCGTTGGGTAGAGTTTACAAAACAAGGACTAAACACTAAGGAAAGATGATAGTGGAGTGTACTCGAGAGTGCGATCAGCGATGAACTGCTGACATGTGCATTAACGTTAATCTGATGGTGGCACGAGTTGTTTGAGTCGCTAGGAACTTGGTACTTGTTGTGGTGGGCGACTTAATCCAAGTCCCCCCATGACACAGGTGGTCCTCAACCGAGGCCACCGGGTGCCGACCCTTGGCGAACCGACACGAAATGGCATAGTATTACAAGTAGTAATACTAGTAGTACTAGGACGTAGAAAACAGAACACCTGTTTCAGCCAACTGCCGGGATCTCACTCTTGGTTCTGCAACGCCGTGGTAACATTAAGTCAATCAAGTGTGCGGTTTGCAGGGATTCGGCACTCCGCCATTTAATTGTTTGTGTTGGCACTGGCGTGGGAAACAACAAAAAGTATACTTTAGTTCCAGTGACCTACGGAACTGAGAGTAATGGCGAAGAACTCAAAATATCGCGCCAAGAAGTCGAAGACCGCGGCAACGGCGCCAGCAGCGAAAGTGAGGAGGAAGTACCAGTGACGGAGCCACCGTTGGTCCCGGTTGTTGGAGGAACCACGGATGCGCTGTCAGCTGTGGGAGAGCCCAAGAGTGAAGAAGTCCGGCCAAGGCGAACAAGGCCACGGGTAGCGCGCGAGCGGCGTCCATGTCTTGGGATGAATGGAGGCGTCGATATGGCGGTCAAACCATGGGACCTAACTGGGAACAGATACCTAGACCCCCAATCGAAGGCGCCTATGTTGAGGAAGAATACCCGCCGCCAGAGAAGTCTGATACCGAGAAACGAGCGGATGAAAAGGCGGAAGCTCGAGCTAAGCTACGTGCGGAATGGCGAAATCGACCGGATAGTACTCCTGACAGCGAGGAAGAAGAAAAGGAATACCAAGAAGTACAACGTAAACAATCTGAACGGCGGCGGATCAACGAAGCCAATCGTCCCCCAAAGGAGAAGCTTGTCGACCATACAAAAGTGGCGCGCGCGGCCCATGATCGACGGATGCTGGACACCACCCTGCCAAGCAGTTCGGGATGGGGACTCTTTCGAGTGGACCACCGACGCCAAACAGCGGAGGTTGGGGGCCCAACTCTCCAGTGGACCTTCATTGGTGGTGACGGATGTTCGACCCCTCCGGATCACCTGTATGGACAGAACTTTCCTGGTGAGTTGGGTGAAGAAGCGGGAGACATATGACGACAAGCTACGGGCGAATGCGCAACGCATGGGTGGTGAGTGGCGACGGAGTGCTGTGGGATGGATTCCTTCTACTGACCGCAGCCTCCTGAAGGCTACATGCACCTATGTTTGGCGAGTGCCTGTGGAACAACTCAGTGAGGACGACTACCGCGACCGCATTATGGAAATCGTCGGGCACCCAGCGACGAAGTGGACACCCACTAAGTCAGACATGCAAACATACTGTCGGGCGCTGAGTGTCGACCTCCATGGAGACGTGACCAGTCGCCTGGTGTCATTCATGGAGCGGGTTGATGATGTCATCGACGAGAACGGCTTACGTCAACAACTCAAAGACTCCACCATGCTGAGAACGTTCGTGAAGGTGGTAGCAGCGCGTGTCACACCCAGCTACGTACGCGACAGAGTGGAAGAGCAAATGAAAATCGTGCTGGCGAACGATCTGGTGGCCTTTGTGGATATCCTACGCGAGCAGCTTGACCGAACGCATGATGTAGACATGGTTAATCAGCAAAGGAACAGCTACGGTTCAAAGGGTGGCCGTGAAGAAGACGACCAAGGGCGCCGCATTACGAAACATGCGAAGAAAGCCAACCAAGCTGTTCGAGACCAGCGGGAATTATCCACGTCCACCAGGTGGATACATCAAGCCGGAACGAAGTGCGGCGGTGTGGTCGCCGTCGACGCAAAAGCGAACGGGGGACCCACCAGCCACAAAGTACGGACCGCAAGTGAACTCGCGCCCAAGACACGACGACCGCCATGTCCAAGCTGTGCGTGATGAAGCACGCCCTCGATTTGCACCCGGCCGGGATGACCGCGGCATGCTGTGGTTTTGTCTGCCAGCAGCCAGGACACATGGCCCGGGAGTGTCCCAATAAAAAAGACGGGATAGCGGCGATACAAGCTGGAAGAAGGGCAAGAACGCCGTCAAGCGGTCCAAGGCGAGGGAACGCAAAGCGACGATGCAACCCAAGCGAATGAAGAAACCCCAACCGCTCAGCATGGAGGATGATGGACGTTGGGTGCGGCTGAACAGTGTGCTGGAAGTTCCATACTGCCCGGACAACGGCACAGACCAAAACATTATGCCACAAGCCATGGTGGATGAACTTCAAGCGGTACAGCCGCAACTTAAAGTTGTCAAGTTGGCTGCGCCATTTGTGGGAACAGCATGCAATCAGATGCCATTTGAAGCGAGCTCCTACATGGACCTTACGCTATGAATGCAGACGGCTGCTGGGCCAGTAAGATGCCAGGCAAGCGCCGCTGCTATGTGGTCAACGATGGAGACGAATTCCTCGTCTCAGATGATACTCTCAAGACCATTGGTATCGACATTGACCGCCTGCTGGAACAGGTGACGCGCCCTACAAGTGGATGAGGATGGCGATGACCTGGAAGAAGTTGGTGGCGATTGCGTGGAGTTGCCCCAACGATCGGCCGTCAGAGCCGCCACCATGAAGGCGGTGCTGTGATGCACGTCATCTAAAAACTTCCAACTGGCCAAATCGAAGAGTCGAGGTTTTATTATTTAACGTACAATTAATGTAGTTAAACCCAAAAACCAAAACGTTAAATACCGATTTTATGTGTTTTATCACTGCAGTGGGAGGTTAAAAGTCCCAACTGCCTCCGGATATTACATACGGATAAGAGTCACATACAAAAATCAAGATACATCTCAGCGGCCACCCCTATGGCCAAATATCCATGCGCCCATGTAAAATACCACTAGGTTAAATATCTGTTTCTGGACCAATTCATCACCAAATTTGAATATGAGACGTAGAATTTCTTCACCACATTGGGATCTGTCGATTCTACGTCTCAATTTGCTGAAATTTTGAGTAATGAATATGAGATAGAAGTCAGAAAATTTGGTGAAAAGTTGGTAGTTTATAGGTGACGAGCATCATACCTGTAGCCAAGAATGAAGTCAAGGAAGCCCTGCAAGGCATGATCGAGGGCGCAGTCGATAACGGATTTCCAATGGAACATGTTAAGTACTTGTGGGATGTGCTCAGCAAGCATGACATCTGGCGAATCAAATTCGACGGGTCAGACCCACCGGCGAAGGTGAAGCCGTTGAAGGTGACCCCGAAGGATGGATGTGTTCCTTACCGATGCAACCTCCTGGAGGAGAGGTTCCTCAAGTTGTGTACACAAGAACTACACTATGCAGGCGTGATCCAGAGCAACCAGCAAAGCCCGGTGAACCCAGTTCTCAAGCTTGATGGGCGCAAGTCATTGAAGTCGGCCGACAAATGGAACGACGATGACGTGCTCAAGAACTATCGGTTAACCAACGACTACCGAGTTGTCAACTCGCTAACCGAGCCGAAGGCAGGGACGATGCCATTCCAGGCTACCATCCTCCAGAACCAACGAGGCAAGAAAACGATGGGCGTGTTTGACCTGCCCAAGTGCTTTTGGCAGTTCCCACTGCACCCCGAGAGCTGGGACATGTTGTCGTTCATGCTGAACGGATGTGCGTACACCCCGGCTCGAGTGATGCAAGGCCATGTGGACAGTGCCCTCTACGTGCAATCAACGAACGAGGAGTGCTACAAAGACCTGCTCTACAAGAACATGCTGATCTGGATCGACGACATCTTTGTGTACGCCGACACAGTGGAAGAGTATGTGGATGCCCTCGAGTCGTTCTTCGATCCAGTGGCCCAGTACGGGTTCAAGCTGAGTCCGTCCAAGACCAAGCTGTTCACGGACCAAGTCAAGTGGTGCGGACGCATCATCAGTGGTGATGGCGTCATGCAAGACCCTGAACGCATAGAACATCTGTGTGCGATCCCCTACCCTACGAATGCGGGAGAATTGCAGCTGTTTGTGTGCACCGTGAACTGGCTGCGGGACTCGATGACAGAGTACGCACAGACCGTCGACCCACTGCAGCAGTGTCTGACGAAGGCCCTCAAAGGCAAGGGCAAGAAGAAGCGAATCGCGTCTGGTG